TATACTTCTGCCCATCTGACAAAAAATAAGTATAATTTTGATTTATTCACACTGGACGGCTGTTGTGTTAGCTGTTGTCATTTTTTTATTTGACAATCTAAGAGAAAAGAGGTTGGTGCCTTTGCCTAAGTAGCCTGGTGTTGCATGTGTTAAAGAGTCCTGTGGCACACTGGCTGAAAATGCTGCAGTAGAGCATTTAGGTCTTTTTATGAGGGAGGGGCGAGGACAGCATGCCAGAACATTCCCCCGCCCCTGGGTCTGTGAGCCGTTGTGCTTGAAGGTGAGGGGATCAAACCTAGAAAACAAGTTTCTGGGTTCAGGTCTGGACTGAGGGTCCACTGGATTGCTCTGAATCATTAAGATTCATTGATCTATTTATTTATTTTTAGAGAGAGAGGGAGAGAGAGAGACATTGATGTGCGAGAGAAACATAGATCGCTGTCTCCTGCACCCACCCCGACCGGGGATCAAACCTGCCACCTTGTTGGGTGTGGACAGTGCCCCAAGCAGCTGAGCCACCCGGCCAGGGCTGAATCATTCAGATGTAAGTGCTGAGAGAGGCATGGCCGTGGTGACGGCGAGAGCCAGGCTTCCAGTGCATTCCTGCCGGGCTTGACGGACTGCTGGTGTGTCGCCACCTTGCTGCCTGACCTTGGCTCTTTCTGACCCCAGTTTTTATAAAATGGCAATGATGTTAACAGAGTGGGGGGGAGAAGAGGTGAGTTGTGCTGTTTAGAGGGGATAACACCAACTTATATAAATGCCATGGTTCTATTCAGGTGAGCCCGATCCGGAACCTGTCTGATGGGCAGAAGTGTCGAGTGTGTCTGGCTTGGCTGGCCTGGCAGAACCCCCACATGCTCTTCTTGGACGAGCCCACCAATCACCTGGATATTGAGACCATCGATGCCCTGGCTGATGCCATCAATGAGTTCGAGGGTGGTATGATGCTGGTCAGCCATGATTTCAGACTCATTCAGCAGGTGAGGTTCCTGGCTCGGGTGGGGGCCTAGTGGGGGCGTATAGGAAATGGAAGATCGTCGTGACAGGAGGGGGCACTTAACACATTTTTATTGGTTTTGGAAAAGGGTTCAGGGCATAGACTAGTGGTTTAGACCAGATCTTATGGCTCTTTGGGAAACTTAGAAAGCCTTAACGGAAGTACTTCATTTCTTCAATAGCTATTTGGGGATGTTAGTCCACTTGATATTGTTGCCAGAATCAGTGAGAGAGTTGGGTAGAGAACAGGGTGCTTGTACTACTGTCCCAAGGTTCTCCAGCCTAGAAGTAGTACTGCACTAAGGAGGATTTTGATTAGAGAGGGCGACCACCAGTCTTCGGTGGAAAAGCTGCCGGTCATTCCTCTGCAGCTTTGGGGAAGAAAGGGTGGAGCTGAGAGTGAAGCCTTCAGACTGATCTAGGCCCTGCTAGGGAACTGGAAATCAGGAGGACGCAGGTCCTGGCTGGGGAGTCTTTAAACCTGCTGGTTACAGTACCCTTGGGTTAAGCCGTCCCAAGAACGTAGAGGTAGCAAAACCAACTCTGAGTTGGATATGATGCTGGTGAAGGGGTTTGGGGAGGTTGTGGAGTTTTATTCCTGGATTCCCCAGGAACAGTCTTCTGGGTGGGGATGGGGAGAGCGCTGGCCAGGATTATAAGTCTAGGGTTTGCTTTCTAGGTAGCACAAGAAATCTGGGTCTGTGAGAAGCAGACAATCACCAAGTGGCCTGGAGATATCCTGGCCTACAAGGAGCACCTCAAGTCCAAGCTGGTGGGCGAGGAGCCCCAGGTTACCAGGAGGACCCACAATGTGTGAGCCCCTGCCCTGGCCGGGCAGGGCCGAGCCCCTGGGGCCACACACCTGCATTGCTGCAATACTGCTCCCCAGCTCCTCCCCTGTCCCCACCTGCCTTAGCTGCACTCTGTGATCCTATCTACAGCTGGACAGTACCTGTCCGTTTCCTGTCCTTCCAATTACTTTTGTCCACGTCTGGACTCAGCTGGCTATTCCTGCCAGTCCCTTGCTGGTACCTGACCCTGGGCGATGCAGCCAGAGGCACCCCAGGGTCAGCCCAAGGGTCCACACCCTGGTTGGCTTGTGAAGGAGCTTAGGATCCTGGTTTTCTGGGTTTTGGTGATGTTGGAGGAATACCCCCCAGCCCACCACCCCCATTCCTTTCTGCTTCTGGTTTGGAGCTCTGGATCAGGGCCTGAGTCCTGATTGTTTTTTAAATAATTATTTAACAGTGTAACTTTTAGACCTGCGTGACATCTACAAAGCGTCCAATAAAGAAAGAAGAAGTCGAAGTCCCTGCTTTCCTTCTCTGGTTCTGGGCCCCTTGCTGCCCTCCTCCGTGCACTACCACACTCATCTTCCCTCAGCAAGAGCCGGGGTGGGGATCGGTGGGATGGGTGTGGTCTGAGGACTCGGCCATAGGACCTAGAAGAACGCTGTCCTTTTTGCTGATTTGCAAGTACCTTTTCTTAGGCTAATGGTTCATAAACTGGAACGTGTGTCAGAATCACTTGGAGGACATGTTAGATCACAGGCTGCCGGGTCTTTCTTTAGAGTTTTTGGTTCAGTAGATCGGGGGGTAAGACCAAGAAGTGGCATTTCTAACAAGTTCCCATGTAATGCTGATGCTGCTGGCCTTGGGGGACCATGTTGAGAGGTAGTCTCGTGGGGCATGTTTTTCAGAGTGGTCTGAGGTTCATATCACAAACTTGGGGTGCTTGCTAAAAATGCAGCTTCCCGGGCTCCAGACTTGTTGATCCCATCTGGTGGGATGAGAGAGGTGCAGAAATGGCCAGTCTTTTTCACACCAGAATTTGTGAACCGCTGTTCGGGCCGTAGACAGGGAGTGTTGTTCTTTTGCCGGTTCACAGCCTTCATTTTCGGTAGTACTGCCTCACTGACTTCCAACCCAAGCTCTGCGTAGCCTGACTGAACTTGACCTGCGCTCACCTTGGCGCTACCATGGCCCGTCCTTACGACATGGGTCCCTCGCTCCACTTCTGGGAAGACACACAGCGGTGATTTTCATGCTCAGTACATCTAAGGCTAAAAAAACGTCCTGGGTGGTGTCCAGCCCCCCAGGGAGCTCATGATCTAAGATAAAGCCGACAAGACCAGAGAGCATGGTGGCCAGCATCGTGCTCACTTGTGACTTGGTAGGGTACAGAGGGTTCCAAAGGGCGGGCAGTTTTCCAGAGAGGTGGGACTTGGTGCTCTCACTTGAAAGATGAGAAAGATCTCAGGGCCATGAAGTCCAAGAGCTGCCCCGGGCAGAGGGACAGTCGGTGAGCGTCAGGCGAGAAGTTGTAACAGCCCAAGGAGCTGAGGCCGGAGGAAAGACCAGGACTCTTACTCCCCTCACCAGCCCCAAGGAACCTGGCTTTGCTGCTTTGTGCCCTAAGTGGGGTCCGGAGCAAAGTGGCCTGTTACTGTGCCCGGAGTATCCAGAGACGGGGTTCGGGGGAGAATGAGCTGTGGGGCTGGGGGCTCCTGCTGCTTCAGCCAAGGAGGACCAGGCTGTGTTTCAAGCTCCCCTGAAAGTGGACGGGTCCCTGTGCAGAGTACCTGTGCAGCGAAGGGATGGGGGCTTCAGACCTGGAGGAAAGTCGGCTAGACTGTCCAAAAGTCAACCTCAAAAATTCTATGAATGCCTAAAAAGCCCAGAAAAGAGGTATGTCTGCAAATGCCTAAAATTAGCAATGCCTTATTTCGGATTTAGAAGTGGCCTTCTGGTCCTTTCAAACCTTAGCGTGTAAGATGTAGCTAGATGTTGGGAACTGGAGAGCTGAGTCTAGTGTGCAGATACTTGCTGAGGCCTGTTTTCACCCCCGGACAGGTGATGCCCGTCTTCCCACCTCTTCTAGATTCGGAAAACCTCCCCCACCCTCAGCCTAGGCTTCTCGTGTGGCTTCAGGTTCCTTGAATCGCAGCATGCAAGGACCTGGAGGACTGGCTCACCTGACCACAGGTGCAAAGTGAGATGAGCAACTCTCCACCTAAAGGCTGCCTTTTCCTTCCCTTCCGTCTGCAGCTGACTTCCATGGGAACCCCAGCTTGTCTGCTTGTGGAAGCACCCAGTGTCTCCCTCCGGCCCTGGCCAGTGTCTCCCCCCGGCCCCTCCGGGCCTCCCAGCCCTGGCCAGTGTCTCCCCCCGGCCCCTCCGGGCCTCCCGGCCCTGGCCAGTGTCTCCCTCCGGCTCCTCGGGGCCTCCCGGCCCTGGCCAGTGTCTCCCCCCGGCCCCTCCGGGCCTCCCGGCCCTGGCCAGTGTCTCCCTCCGGCCCCTCCGGGCCTCCCGGCCCTGGCCAGTGTCTCCCTCCGGCCCCTCCGGGCCTCCCGGCCCTGGCCATCTGCCTCAGTCCAGCCTCACTGCGCCCTGCACACATCGATTCCACTCCGCTTTTCACACCATTTATCTTTCTCCCACTCTTCCAATTACATCCCCTTCCTTCTCCTCAGTTGGACTGTACTCATCCTACAAGACCAGCTTCAAGTCCCCACTTGTTCCTTGGAGTTTCTCTGGCTACTGCAGCCCACACTGTTTTCTGAACTCTGTCCCCACCACGCACTTTGGCCCTCTGACTCTTCCTCGATTGTTCCGTGTGAACCGGTCCTGTATCTGCCCGTCTCGCAGGGCTCTGTGGGGAGAGATGCCTGTGTCTGTCCCGACTCTCCCCAGCACTATGCCTTGCCGAGCCCAGTGGGTGCTGGGTGATTTCGTGGCTGTTTGGTGGTGTGTGAACTCTAACAAGGGTGTGATGCATCGGGGGATAATCAGCCTGAAGGGAGGGCTGGTGGAGTGTTTCCTGTTCAGAGACAGGAAATCGCTTGTGGGAGAGGAGAGAGCATGTTCCAGATAGGGTTGGGCCAAGCCACACCCCTTCATCCCAGGTGCTGGTCCCCAGCCCCACCTGGCCGGCCAGCTGCTGCTAACTTCATAAAAAGTAGCCCCAAGAAGCGGAAGGCAGCTGTATGCAGGAGGAGGAGGATGAGCACGGAGCATGGACGGAGGCAGCAGTCTGGGGGCCGAAAGGGCCACAGCTCCAGGGACAAGAAGTCCAGAAAGCAAAGTCGGCGCAAAGAGACCTACTCAATGTACATCTACAAGGTGCTGAAGCAGGTGAGAGCCGGGAGCTAGCGAGAAAGAGCGAGTCAGAGAGCGAGTCGAATGCACTGGCAGCCCCGGGAGGGTGCTGGGCTGAGAGTAGGGACTCCGTGTAGTCTGGAGCTGGGACGGGTGGACTCACGTCCCCCCAGGGGTGGTCAAACTTGATCTCGGGGGTTCCTACCCTTCTCGGTATCTGTCGTGCACCTGTGATGTGAAGGGACATTTCAGGCATGCTCCCCACCACAGCCCAGACACTAACAGGGCTTTCGGACAGACAAGATGATTGTGCAGAATGTTAGGTGGCACAAAAAAAAAATTTTTTTTAAATTCCTTATCCAAGGATACTTTTCTGTTTATCATGGGGTAGAGTGGGAGGGAGGGAAAGAGGGAGAGAGAGACAGAGAGAATCATCAATGTGATAACAGCCACATTGATTGGTTGCCTCCTGCAGGACCTGACCAAGGCCCGGGATGAACTGCAACTGAGGTAGGTGCCCTTGGCCGGAATCGAACCCGTGACTCTTTGGTCCATGGGCCGACGCTCTAACCACTGAGCAAAACCGGCAGGGCAGGTGGCACAAAATTAAAAGGGAAGACCACGAGAAGGTGCTGGGCTGAAGGTGCTCGATCGGGAGCCAAACACATTGCGGTGCAAACAAGAAGTTCAGTTCGTGCCAGCTAAAGCCAGGGGCACTTGTGTGAACTCAGGTCTTGGGAGGCCTTCCAGACAAGTGGCACTCGGTCTCCGAGGGGATGAGGGGTTGGTCTACCTTACAGAAGAGCAACCTGAGGTCCATGTGTGCTCAGTGGGTTGACAGTCACAGGACCTGACCCACAGCTCTAACCAAAGCCCCCTGAATGCCTCCTGCTCCCACCCCTAACCCACAGGTGCCCTCTCTATTCAGGCAGTCTACCCGCGCACCTCTGAGAAGCACCTGGGACTCGCACGCTGACAAACATTTGGGGGCACCCATAGCTACCCAACAACCAGTGTGTCTGGAGGATCCCAGGCAACGTGTCTTCAAAGCCTCTGCCCTGCCCGACAGAGCCAGGACCAGGAGGAGGCAGGGCAGCTCTGATGCCCATCCAGTTCTCTCCGATCTGCCCAAGATCCTTACGCAGAGCTGGGCCTGTCTCCAGTCCGAATGCCATTAGCTTTAGTGACCTGGAAACCGGGGTCTCCAGGAATGGTGGGGTGGGGTGCCCAAAGGGCAGTACCAGCCGCAGCCAGTGTGGCTCAGCAGTTAGAGCATTGGCCCAGGGACCAAGGAGTTGCGGGTTCGATTCTGGTCAAGGGCACATAGCTTGGTTGAGGTTCGATCCCTGGCCCTGGTTGGGGTCCAGAAGGAGGCAGGCAATTGATGTGTCTCTCTCACATCGATGTTTCTCTCTCTCTCCCTCTCTCCTCTCTCTCCCCCCTTTCTCTCTCTCCCTCCCACTCTATCTGAAAATCAATGGAGAAATATCCTCGGTGAGGATTTTTTAGAAAAAGTAAATAAACCAACAGTATGTGCATTTAAAAACAACAACAACAACAAAAACCAGGTTTGATTTCTGGTCAAGGACATGTACTTGGGTTGCAGGTTCAATCCCCCCCCCCCGCCCTGATCGGGGTCCTGTGGGAGGCCACCAATCAATGTCTCTCTCACATCGATGTCTCTCTCTCATACCACCTCCCCTCTTTCTCCCCCTCCCTCCCTCCCTCCCTCCCACTCTCTGTTAAAAATCAATGGAGAAATATCCTCAGGTGAGGATTAACAACAAAAAAAAGGGGCAGCACCAGACAGACTCCAGTGTCCTGAAGAAAGTGTGTGGGGGGAGCGGGTATGAGTGAGCCCCACAGCTTAGCCTGAGGAGGGCTCACAAGCTGTGAGGGCGGGGACTAGGGGACTCGCCTTGCAGAGGGGAGCTGCTTCACCCCAGCAGGCGGGAGACCCTAGGAGAGAGGGTTGTGATGACGAGGGGTGGGGGTTAGGCTAAACCTAGTCCAACCTCGTACGGACTCAGATTTCCTGTTGTGAGTGGTGACCAGAAGCAGCTAGCTCTGTCTCCACCATTGGCTTATGTCACTGGGGAGTCACTTATATCCCACTGGACAGAGAAACACTTAACGTCTGCCTGCTCACATTTTAAGATCGCATCCGCTCGCCGTTTGTTTTACTAGAGATCACCTAGTTCACGACCTTGTGTGATAGAAGGAGAGACTGAGGCCGAGGACTACGCCTTATTCAAGGTGACAGAGTGAATCACAGTCCAGGCACAGAGCCTGGGCCTCTCAACCCCTCTCGGTGGTGCTGAGATTGGGTCCCGTCGGTGTGCTCTCCGGCCGGTGATTTGTAACCATCTGCCAAGTTAAGTGCACACACCTTGATCTGGCCGTCCCACCTCTAGGAACAACCTTCCTTGTGCGTGTACAGTGTCCAGAGACACGCATTCACTATAACACAACCTAATAGCGAGAAAACAAAACCCCCAGATGTCTATTAGAAGCGGAAGGGAGAGAGAAGCTATGATTCCTCCACACTGGGAAACACCAAGAAAAACAACAGAACACTATGCAAATGCACTCAATGGGGAAAGCAGAATGCGTGGAACTGATTCCATTCGTCAGAGAATAATGCTGACGCACTCACACGGGATAGCTCGTTACCTCTTGCAGCTGGGAGAAACGGTGTTTTAGCTTGGATACAGTAGTATCTAAACAGATCCCTATTTCCATGTCTCTCGGCCTCTGGGAAGAGGCTGGTGAGGTGGCGTTAGAGTCCTGGGTCCCCAACCTGGGGCTGGGCCATCGCAGAGCCTCCTGGTGAAAGCAGTCCTGTTTCTCCAGGTGCACCCTGACATCGGCATCTCTTCCAAGGCCATGAGCATCATGAACTCATTTGTGAATGACGTGTTTGAGCGGCTGGCCGGCGAGGCCGCCCGGCTGGCCCAGTACTCAGGCCGAACCACGCTGACCTCCCGGGAAGTCCAAACGGCTGTGCGCCTGCTGCTGCCCGGGGAGCTGGCCAAGCACGCGGTGTCGGAGGGCACCAAAGCCGTCACCAAGTACACCAGAGCCAAGTGACCTAAGCTAAATAAAGGGTGAACTGCTCCCGTCCGCTGTGGTGGTTTCAAAAATGGATGTGCGGTGAGGTGTGCTTTGGGACAAGGGTATTGTCACTTTTTAATAACTATGTTTTTATTGATTTTCGAGAGGAAGGATTGGGGGAGAGAGAGAAACATCAATCAGCTGCCTCCGGCACAAGCCTGAAACCTAAGCATGCACCCTGACCGGAAATTGAACCGGTGGCCTCTTGGTGCATGGGATGACACTCAACCCGCTGAGCCACACCGGCCAGGGCAGTATTATCACTTTTCATGGCCACTGAGGTGGAATAATAACACTCATACTTTTTTATTTTTACATTTTTTTGTTGTTAATCCACACCCGAGGATATGTTTCTATTGATTTGCAGAGAGAGTGGGAGAAAGGGAGGGAGAGAGAGAGAAACATCAGTGTGAAAGAGATAGATCAATTGGTTACCTCCCTAATGACCCCGACTGGGGCCAGGGATCAAACCTGCAACCCAGGTACATGCCCTTGACTGGGAATCAAATCTGCGACCCTTTGGTCTGCAGTCTGACGCTCTAACCACTGAACCAAACCAGCCAGGGCTTACTCAGACTTTTTTTTTAATTAAAAACTGCTTTCTGGGGGTACCCCATGAGCGCATGTGATACATGTTCTGATCGGTAGTAAGCTGATGAAGGATTGGGGCTGGATTTGGAATCCTCCCTCTGTTGATGCCATCACGCCTTCTCGGGGCCTGAAATTCCTCCTGCCTTATTCCTTCGGACCGTGTTCTGGGATGCCGTTTCCAGCAAACTGTCATCTTTGTTTGGGCTGGGCACAGGGGTCTACACAGAGGTATTCTTCAAGATACAAAACAGAAGGCCCACACGGACAACAGTGCTTGGGGAGGGGGGCAGGATCAGGAGGAGGGGTGGGGGGATAAAGGAGAAACATCTGTAACAAAAACTAATTAATTAATTAAAAAGAAACAAAAAGCAACCAAAAAAAAAAACAAAACAACAAACGGCCCGAACCAGCCATCAAATAGCCTGCTGGGATCTGTAAGATGATTTCACTCTCCCCTAATATTGTCTTCCCCTTCCTGTCAGAACAAAAAGGGTTTTGAGACTCCTAACTTCTCTCTTTTTTTTTTTTAATCCTCACCCGAGGACATTTTTTCCATTTTTTGTTCAGATAGAGCGGGAGGGAGAGAGAGGAAGAGAGAGAGAGAGAAACATCGACGTGAAGGGACACATCGAGTGGCTGCCACCCGCACGACCAACCAGGGCCGGGGACAAACTGCAACCGAAGTACGTGCCCTTAGCGGGAACCAAACCCGGGTCTCTCTGTACCGCAGGCCCACGCTCCAACCGCTGAGCCAAACCGGCCAGGGCCTCCTAACTTCTCTTACCCAAATTTTATTTTAAAAAAGTCTCAAATCCACAGGGAAAAAAGTGGCAAGAAAGGACAATGGCCACTTGTCTGTCCTTCACCCAGGCTCACCACTTAACATCTGACCCCACGGACTTTCTCTCCCTCACTCAGCCTCTGCGCCGGCTTGTGGGCATGCGCCCCGTGCATGCTCTCCCAGGCGCTGGGGGTGGGTGGAGGGGTGGGAGTCAGTTCCCTCTGTGACTGGATAGGCTCAGCTCGTGGCCCGCGAGCTCTCTGTGACAGTGGCCACCACCGCGATGCATCGTCCACACGCATTTTCTCCCACGAAGAGCCGCACGTGAAAGTGCCTTGAGAGAAGGAATTATCCACGCTTGGGTCCCACCGCTAGAAGCAGGGCAGGCCCAGGTCTGGCCCCTGAGCCTCGGCTCTCCCCGACCCCCACCCGGCGTGTCTGCGTGGCTGGGAGCTTGCTAGGAATGCAGAATCTCAGGCCCGCCGCAGACGGCGGAATCGGAACCTGCGTCTTGACGAGGTCCTCGGGTGACCGGCACGCCCGGGAACACCTGAGAACACATCTCTGCCTCCTAGCTGCTGCCTCCCTTCTCCCCCTTCCTCTGCCCTGTGCCTTAGGCATGTATCTAATTGTGAGTCCCTACTTAACACTGAGCCAAAAAGGTCACTGCCAGCTGACCCATCAGAAGATAATGTTTTGTGTTTTCCAAAGAATGGTCTCCTGAATGCTCCCGGACAGTCACAGAGCAGAGTCAATGAGGCCGGGTCTGCACTAAGGAACACAGGGTTCCTCCAGCCGAGATGTGCGGTTGGAGTAATACCTTCAGGACTAATAGTCACTGGAGCCGCGCAGTTCCAGGGTGACTTCAGATAGGGGCCATGCTTTTATTTGATCCTCACAAGAGAAGCAGCCGCAGCTGAGCCCACACTCCGCCCTGCTTTCCTAGGCTTGCTAGGAGGGACCTGCCCTCCCTCCAGGGTGCCGGCTCTAGAGCATCCTCTGAAATCTTCCCCAGTCACACCCACAACTCCACCTCTCACGCCTTGGAACACTGGGACAATGGGACAGAACCCTTAAAACTGAGCTGTTCTGGGGGTGCAGTCAGAGCGGAAACACGTAGGCTCTGCATTCCGCCACCAGCTCACCAAGGGCAGCGTGGCGAGTGGGTACCATGTCTGAGGGGTAAGTCGGGGCTGGGGTGCAGCCCCCAGGGCTGGGAGAGCAAAGAGCAGGCTGCCTCCTACTCCAGATCCCGTCAGGCTGAGGCCACTGGGTGGGGAGGAGAACTGGGGGGGGAGAGGGGGCTCCATACTGGGCCAGGGCCGCAGACTTGCACACAGCAACCCCAGTTGCTCCAGCCTGTGGTCAGCTTTTGCTCTTCGACCCTCCTTGGACTACTAACTCCAGAACCAGGGCTCTGCTTTGGGGAAGGGACCATGCTCCACACTCATTCCTCACCCCACTTCCCACCCACCATCCTCGACCACTGCAGCATCCCTGGGCTGCACCCTTACCCTGGAGGGACCAACTGCCGACTCGGAGGAGCCTCTTTCTTATAGGGGGGCCCTAAGAGCCATGGCCATTCCTCATTCCCCTGGTGAGCCTGATCCCACACCTCTAAGCCCCGCTGTGCTCACTGTAGCCGCCATATCCTCCTGAGGACCCCTTACTTCCCTGAGCTCCACTTTGGCTCCATGAGTAACCTTAACATCACAACTGGATCGGGAGGTCACACTCCTCAAAAGGCTCGGCAGCGCCAGCCCCCCACACCGTTCCCATGCTCCTGAGGCCTGGAACCCCCCAGTGCGCCCGCCTCCTCCCTCCAGAGCTTACCAACGCCTCTGGGACTCCTCCCACGTGATCCTGCAAGAGCTGCTGGACCAGGAGGAGCCCCTGCTCCAGCCTGTGCCCAACCAGAAGCGGCAGTCCTTCCAGTACACGCTCTCGTCGCTCTACCTGTACTACCTGGGGCTGCTGCGCCGCTTCAACACCCTCTACGACCAGATGGTGCAGCCACAGAAACGGCGGCTGCTGCGGCGCCTGCTGGACGGTGTGGCGGGCCGGGTGCTGGAGCTCAAGGAGGAGATGGTGCGCATGGACCTGTGCGAGCACCACTGCCTGGACCACGTGCTGCAGGACCTCCATCTCACCCCGGTGCGGGGCGGTGCGGGGCGGCTAGGGCCACTCCCTGCCAGCAGAGAGGGGCGTGTGGCTGGTCTTGACCTCCTTTAGACACCCCTGGGACATCTGCGAGGGAGGGAGGGAGGGAGGGAGGGCAAGCAGATGATCAGGGGATGGGGTTTGGTCTCACAAGAAAGGCTTCAGGAACTGGGGTGGGGTGCATGCAAGTAGTTGGGGGTGGCTAGAGAGTCAGGCTAGAGGTCTTGCATGGCTGGGAAGACCCATGAATGGTGAGGGATTGGTGAAGCGTCCTCTAGAGGCTTGTTCTTCAAAGTGTGGTCCATGGACCAGCAGCGTCAGCATCACTTAGGAGCTGCATCCCAAACCTGCTCATCCGTCCCTGCCTTTTCACAAGACCCTCAGGTGCTCTGAATGCACCAGCAGGAAGCCCCAGGGTCATGGTACACAGCTCCATGCCCAAGGCAGTCAGCCTCAGAGTTTCCAGACCAGCTGCATTAGGTTCAGCTGTTGGCTTGAAAAAAAAAACACAACAACAACAACAACAGATTCTCCGGGCCCTGTAATTCGGATGCGGTGGTCTGCGGAGGGCCTAGGAGTCTGCATTTTAAAAGCTTCCTAGTTGATTCTGGTGCACAGCCAGGTTTGGAGCCACTGCTAGTTAGCTACCATGATCCTCCAGAACTCAACTCGGGCCGAGGCCGGGGAGAAAGGGATGATGTCCGTGGGTCTGCCTGTAACCCACTCCAGGGCTCCAGCACAGAGAAAACAGTGCCAGGGACTGTGTAGGCAGCTGGGAAGCGTGCTGGATCGGCCAGGTGGCCTGGCTGCTGATCACTGGCCCCCTGTCCCCTGTATTGCCCCAAAGGCAGACCTGGAGGTCCCAATCCCCACATACTTCCTGCTGGAGCAGTCCAACGTCCTACAGGAGCGAGGGCTGATGCTGGCAGAGATCCTGTCCAGAATGGAGCCAGTGTCCTTCCAGGAGGCAAGTCAATGGACACCTTCCCAGACTCCCCCCGTAGCCCTGCTCCGGGAATAGAGATGCCACCATCCGGGACACAGGGAGGCCCTGCCCTGCTCTACACCCACTTGAGAGTGCTCTTTGGGTAATCCCTGACCTCCTTTACGGCTGCTCTTGTGTCCTTGTAACCTTCCAACACCAACCTAGAAGGGCAGGACCTGGGCACCTAGATGCCCTGGGAGGACCACGCCCCCAGCATGTCTTTTAGTGTGTGATTTCCCAGCTGCCCACCTGGATGCAAACCCTCCCTCATCTTCTTCTGCTCCTTTGCCTCTCCTCTGGCCAGAACCTTCCATCAATGAACCGGACTGACGCCATAATCCTGCTGCAAACTGCCGAGCGGGCCAGGCAAGGCCGGCTCCGAGCCACCTTCTTTCGAGAAATTCGGAGAGAGGAGGAGTGGGATCGGAAGATGAGGGAGGGCGGGTGGCACAAGTTCAATCAGGACCAAGCCGCTATCATCATTCAGAAGGTAATCCCCCAGCATCTAGGAAGAAGGGCAAGGTCGGCGGTCACCTCCTCCAGGAAGCCTGCCTAGCTTAGCGATTGATGACAGAGGTGCAGGTGCTTGGATTCTGTGGCCCCACAATTAGATCCTAAACTAGGGACTTTTATAAGTCAATAATCATGTATCTTATTTCTTTATTATTTATTCTACCTCTCTATCCCCAAAAGGATTCAAAGTAGGATACCATCAAAGCCCGAGAAACAAAAAGATCATTAAAACAAGAGGGAAATGATCCATAATAAGGTAGCAGAACAGAGTCGAGGATCATTCTAGAAACTCTTAAGACTGTTAAAAATAAGTCAGTAAAATGTACCCTGAGCCTCCTGGCAGCCGGGGCAAAGGGAAAGATGACGAAGAGAACAGATGTGATCCAGGGTTCAAGGCCTGTGCCGTCTGGAGTCACCCTCTCCTTCAACATGGAAATCGCATGCCACACCCCCCCCTGCTCACTGCAGCACCCCCAGCCCCGTCCCTGGGTTTCCCTGTGCCTTCTTACTATTCTGGGGGCCACACCACACCTTCCAGCCCCTGCTGCCCCCAGTGTGTGGGTCTGGCCTCTCTATCATTGCCCACGAGGCTGGGCGGTCGTGGTTACAAGCTTGACGACACTGGAGGGGCCCTGGGAAATTTTCATTGCAGAAACGGGCCACTTTGCTCCTGTGTCTGTCCCCACTCCTGGGCCTTGCTCTGTCATAGGAAGCCACGTGCCATTTTTTTTTTTTCCCCAGAAGCGGCCCAGAATGGCTGGCAGGGGACTGGATGTTTTTCTCCTTTTCCCTCAAGTCCCAGTGGCTCAAAAATGTCTGTCTGTCGGCCCAAGAGAGGAAAGTTAGAACCACTTTCTACCAAAAATTAAAAGCAAACCAACCAATGAACAAACATCGCCTCTGAGAACAGCTATCCTCTCCAGATGGGATAGATTTTGATTATTGATCAGCAGGCAGAATGTCCCAATCGGAGCCCCTGCATTTGGGTGACGGACCCAAGGTCTGGCTGCCCCATGGAGAGGGCGGGAGTCCTCACCTGCAGGGCTCCATGAAGCAAGCCTTTTGAGAGGAGGATCAGCCCCAAAGACAGAACCCCACCCACTTCCCCCCAGGAGCCAAAGCTAGTCATGTGGTCCCTACTGCCAGACATCAAGGGTGTGAAATCCTGCATCCAGTCTTCAAGTTCTCCAGTACAAACACTAATCAAAAGCCATTCCATGGGCCTCTCCTCTGCTGGTCCCAGGAGCCTGGACAGGCCCCTGCCCTGCCTCCCTCTGCCCAGTGCCCCTCCCTCCACCTGCTGGCACGGGGGCGAGTATTGATTCCAGGTGCTATGGGAATTCTGAGACCTGAGAGTGTTAAGCGCTTCTTAAAGATGATGGTACTTGAACTCTGATTTGTGCCTCAAAAGATACAGCAGATTCAAGGGGGGAGACGAGGAGGGAATTCCTGGGGGACTGTGAGGGAACAAAGCCTTGGGGCTGGACAGTTTGGGTGCCTCCCTGCCCCACACGGATGGTTCCCGGCTGTTCCTGCTCAGGTAGCAGTTGCACACGAGCTGCACGCCCGCAGGTGCCTCCCAGCTCCTCCCCCACCTTCCACCCAAACCTCCCCTTCCAGGGGGTGGCGGCTGCTTCTCCCTGGGACGAAGCCCGAGAGCCACATTCCGGAGGAATGCAGTGTGGGGAGTGTCTGGGCTCGTGTGTCCCCCCAGGTGTGGAAAGGTCACCTGCAGAGGAAACGCACTCAGCAGGACCGGCAAACAGAGATGGAATTCATCGGCATGGTGAGTCCCTCCCTGGCCACAGGTGGGGACACAGGGCTGGCCAGCGCATGGGACACCTCCTCTCACTTCATCCTTCTGAGCCCCAGCCCCAGAACACTGCCACATGGCCCGCCACTCAGGACTGCGGTGGGCGTGATGGAGGGGGCAGGCCAGCACCAGGGCCCGAGGGATCCTTCGGGGTGGGACTGAGCAAGAAGGAAGGACAGGAAAGCCGGGGCCAAGCCGAATCCCTTCCCACCTTCCCTCTCCTAGAGCCTTTGAGAATCTCAAATGTGGGTGCAGGGTGAGGGTAGGAGCACCCAGTCTCCTGGACCCCGTGTCCCTGCCCCTGGCTGGAGGAGGGGCTGCAGGGGTGGGCCCAGCAGACAAAAAAGGCCTCAGGGGCCCACTTGGGAGGGGGCACACCCCCTCACACCGGAGCAGTTTTTTGGGCTGCGGGCTCCCCACTTGATTTGGGGCCCCCAGACTCGCTTCTCCTCTGCATGCAGGGAGCAGGGCCAAATGTTAACGACATGAGGTGGGCACGAGTGTGCATGTGGGCGAGTGTAGGTGGTAAGACGAGCAGCCCCCAGTGTGCGCACAGGTGGTGAACAGGCCCAGCTCCCTGAGCTGTCTGTCCTCTGCTCTCGATGCTCCTTTATCCAGCTGGTGTGCGCTGACTTGGGTGACAGGGGTGAGGGACATGATCCCTGGGAGGGGCTTTGCAGTAGGCAGAGCCCATGGAGGCCTGGCTGACAAAGGGGTTTGGGGGTGCCGAGAGATTGGAGACAGGGCTTGGGATGACTACTCTAGGGGGCTGGGGGGCTTCAGAAGGAGGGAGGGGCCGGGATCTGCTGCGTGGGAGTGGAGGTCAGAGACTTGTTGGGGAGCTGATGAGCTGGACCCCCAGGAGGCCTGGGGTCAGGCTTTGGTGGGGAGGGGGCAGGGGAGCATGGCACAGCAGTGGGTGAGGAATGAGCCTGGCTGCCCGGGCCCATCAGCAGTGTGAGCTCAGCGTTTTCAGTAATTGTCTCTGCGCACAGTGATATTTAAAATACATTTGGGAGCCAATGAGGCGGGAAAGTGGCTGCGAGCGAGGCTGCCAAGGCGGGCGCTGGGTGGGGGTGCAGGTGGGGGCTGGGGCCCGAGGCTCACAGGGGAGGGTGTGCTGGGGGAGCGGGCAGGGGGGCCCGCCCGGATACATCTAGCAAACTCATTATCAGAGTAATTTACACTGACGAGTTTCAGCACCAAACAATTTCTCCTGATGCAGGCAGGCCCGATGTTCCGTGTGGGTGTGCATGCGAGGCACATGGGCAAGGGAACGCATGGGGGCAGGTGTGCGAGCCTGCGGCCGGTCCTCCCTGCTCCCACTCCTCAGTCCCTCTGTCCCCTCCCCATGTCCCAGCTCCCCGTGTCCAACCCACTGGAGAGTTTGGGCCTCAGGCCCCCGACCAGCCTCAGGGAGGATGCCAGGAGGCTCCGTCAGATGGAGAAGGAGGAAGAGTTCCAGTTGGCCATAGTGAAGACCCAAGACTCGCTCAGAGAGACCGAGGGGCCCAGCATGAAGGAGAAAATGAAGGCGCAAATCCGACAGTGGTTTATCGAGTGCCAGTCAGTGTCCCCACCCCAGCTGACTCAGCCCTCAACCCCTTTCCTTCCTCACTCATGTCCACACGTCTGTCTTGTCCTCTGGCCTCGCCTGGGCCCTTTTCTCCACTCACCCCGGTCCCACCAACACACGGCTAACACATTGGCTTCCACCTGGGACCATCCCCACTGCGGGCCCATCTCCACACACGACTTCCTGTTTCCCCAGAGGGAAGAGAAAGTGCCCAGGGAAAGCATCCAGGAACGTCCCCTGAGTGATCTGTCCTTTCTCTTCTGTAACTATCTGTTCCTTCCCCCTCCCCCTCAGTCTCCCCGGTCCTTTCCCTGTCCCCATCCTTCTCTCTATCCGTCTATTCATCCATACACCCACCCTTCCACCAGCCCACCCCTGCATCCATATGTCCATTCGTCCATCCACCCACCTGTCCATCTCTCTATCTTACGCCCACTTAGTGCCCTTACTGGCCGATTCCCCGATTATCCAGATGAGTCTTCAGGTGGATCCTACCTGATCTTCTCAGACAAGACCCCAGAACAGGTGCCCTGGAGGTGGGGGCAGGAGACTGTGTGGCTGGTGGAGTCTGAGGTTACAGGGAGGGCTGACTGTAAGCGGAGGGTGGTCGGGTGTGGGGTGAGGTCAGTCCCAATGGAGGCAGAGGTGGCCAGGGGAAATACATGTGCTTAAGAAGACGGCATTGGGGGAGGGTGGTACCTGCATCGGAAGAAGGTGTCCTTGGCCAGAGAGAGGGCACGTCTGGTGAGACTGTTGTATCTCTAGATCCCCACGGCCAGGAGAGCAGCTGTCCTGGTGAGAACACTGCATCGCCTGGCCCTCTTCCTGGACCCCAGGGAGACCTCTGAACTCCCAGCCATCAGGACCCCACCGCTTCCCCTAGGCCTTGGGGATCCTGAGTCCACCCAGTCACAGGCCCAGGGTTTTCTTGTTCCTGGAAAGCGCCCTTGGTCTTCTCCGCAGCATCTTTTTCCCTTGGTCACAGGTGAAAACGGAACTGGAGACGCAGGTCCAGGGGGGCACTAAAAAAGATGAAGGCAAAAGTAAGGAAAAAGAAAAGGAGAAAAGAGAGAAGAAAGGGAGAGAAGAAAAGACCAAGATGGGGGTAAGGCAGCTCCTGGGTGTGCGAAGCAGCTGGGCAGGGGAACGAAGTCCGAGGGGATCTCTGGTGGCAAGGCTGGTCTGGGCGGCAGAGTTTGTGAGGGGTGAAGGTGAGGGGGTCGAGGTCAAATGGTGTTTCTATTCTAGGAAGCAGATACAACGCTGAGAGTGTTGCCGTCCAAATTTGTACCCCTGATCAATGCGGGGCACGAGGAGTATAAAAGTAAGGGGGGAGAAGGCCGGGAAGCTGTGCAGCCCACGTGGGGCCTTGGAGTGACCCTTGTTCCTAGGGACAGTGGACATGTGCCATGTGGGTCATGAGGTGGTGCTGTGGGTGTGTAGGCGGAGGGGGAGGGGGAGGGGCACTGTGGGTTTGGGTCTGAATCCTGCAATCACAGGCCTTGGCATCAGGCCTCTGTCTGTAGTCTGGTGAGACGCAGAACCAGGGGCCAGGGGCCAGGGGCCAGCTTGGGTCAGGGTCTTGGCCTGTGTGTGCATGTGTGTGAGACACAGAGAGACAGAGAGACAGAGTGAGAGACAGAGTGAGAGAGAGGTAGACCAGCCTGGGTCAGGCTCCTGGCCCCGGTGAGCGAGTGTGCGCGTGTTTGAGTGTGTGTGTGTGAGTATACCTGGGACTCTGCCCTCCACGCCCTCTAACCATCCACGCTCAGATACGTGGAAGAACAAGCATAGCAGCGCCTACCTCAGTCAGAGTTTCGACGCTGAGACCCTCCGGCTGGAGAAGAGGAAGGAAATGGAGCAGGAGATCCGGATACAGGTGGGCGTGCTGGCTCCAGGCCTCCCTGCGGGCTCCCTCTCCCCACCAGCGCCTCCCGCTGTTCTGGGTCTGTCCTCTCTCCACATGAACCCCGGCTTGGTCCCTCTTTCTCCCCTGCAGCCTGTAGGTGAGGGAATGGGGGGCTCTGAACCAGGGTCATGTCCACCATCCTCCTCACCAACCCTTAAAGAGCTCCTGTGATGTGCCCTTGGGAGCATTAGATCATATGATCATTCCAATGACCCCTGAGGTACGCACGGTGATTTTACCAATGTGATCTGTAAAAAAACTGAGGTCGAGAGGTCATACAAGTCCTCAAGGTCACACAGACGCTGAAGAAAGCCCCACTCCATCCCAGGGCTTCTCCCCACGCTGATGCCAGTTGAGAGCAGGACTTATGTGTGAGCAGAATATGGATTAAGATTAAGTGTGGATGGTGCAGGGACCAGGGACAAATGTCAAGGCCGAGGGTCCTAAAACAAGACGTAGGAAAGTTGGTGGCCACCTGCTGCCTTCACGGGGCTTGGCTGGCTCTGTGCAGAGACGGCTGTGTTCCTCTCCACCCTGCCTCCGTCCTTGCCTCCTGCCTGTCCTCCCCCGCCCCTGGCCCCCCGCCCCAGGCTCTGCTGTCTCCACAGGTGGATGAGCTGATGCGTCAAGAGCTGAAGAGCCTGCGCCTGGCTGTGGACCGGGAGGAGGACAGACCCTTCAAGGCTCCAAAGGCAAGACGAGGGGCCTGGCTGGGACAGGAGAGGGTGCACAGCAGGGAAGGCAAGGAACACAGGACAGTTTCCTATGCGCTTCTTTCCAACCAGAAAAAAAATGGGAAGAAAGCTGGGAAGAAGAAGGAAAAGGATCTGACCCCAGACAGGTAGTAGAACCTTCACCTTATTGTGGGTGGTGGAGCAAGCCCTGGCCCAGGACAGAGCTGACTGTGGGTGCTAGTTCCGTTGCTGTGTGACCTCGGGAAAGTCACTTAACCTCTCTGACCCCCTGTCCTTATTAACCAAGCACCTCCCCTGCCAAACTCACACTGTAGTGGCGAGGACCAAACAGTAGCATGAGAAAGTGCTTTGCAATGATGATGCAGAATAAGACATGAGTGGGGTGTTGCTAGGAACGCTCCCTCCGACATTTGCCTCCACCAGCTCTGTCCCTTCCAAAGCCATCTCCCCTGGACTCCCCACTCTGGGGCATTGAAGAATTTGTCCGCGGTCCCTTTCTTACTTCTCTCATGAAATGAGTCATGAGCACGTTGACATTAGCTGCTTTGATGGCCACCTCTCCCAGAGCACGTACACCTTAAATGTGTCTTCTAGAAAGAGGTTGATGAGTCACCCAAATGACTGGGTTTCTGCTGGTGGAACTTACAGCCACGAGCAGATGGATGGAGGGAGTGTTATAGGGCGCTGGTCCTGCTCACACCCCCTCCACCCACAGAGCACCCACTGTGTATGGGCGGACTGCCTTCTGGGCCCGTGGGTTGGTGTCGTACCTTCTGATGCTGGCTGTCCAGGGCACTATTGATTTTGACCACAGGATGTGGGGCAGGAGGGCCCCTCAGCCCCTCTCCTCGTGCCTGCAATGACACCCACTCATCTCTTCCTCCATGTCGCTCCGTCCTCGGGGGGCCCTGCACCACCCTCGGCCAGGTCCGTGTCCTCTCTGTTTGAAGAACTCGTCATCTACAGCTTTCTGAAGAAGAGCATGACGGTGGCATTGAAGGACTTCGTTGGTGAGACCCCTCCCCATCGCCCGCTTGCAGCCTGAGGAACAGTGTCCAAGGCCCTCCGGCCAGGGTCATCCCGGTGGCCAACTACCACCCTCTGAAATGAACCTTCTCCTCGAGTGGCTTTCTCTCTTGACCCTGCCCTCGTGGGCGCCACTCACCAGGTGGCCACCTGTCCCTCAGGTGACTTCCTCTACCTGGGATCCACACTGAGTCTGGCCAACAAGTTGCCTATGCCTTCCCTGTTCGACATGCGACAGAACATAGCCTTGTACGCCGTGCTTCGGCTGGGTGAGAGGCCCTGGGGCGGGGGCCTGGGAGAGGGAGGGACAGGGGCTGAGGCGGGAAGGTCCAGCCTGGGCCTCCAGGGCCCCGCGCCAGGGACCTGCGCTGGACTCCTGCCCCAACCCCTGCCGGAGGTCACACTCAGCCTGGGCCAGCCCAGAAGTCATGTGGGTCCCTGACCTGCTGAGGAGTCCACACTTTCAGCCCTTACTCAATTCCAAGGCACATCCCACTGTCGGTCCCATTCCCCCAAAACGGGGGTCTTTCTGAAGCGATTGTCCCCATGCCCGCAGTTGCACCCCTTCTTTTAAAAAAATATTTTTTCTTTTTTTTTTATCCTCACCCGAGGATATTTTTCCATTTTTTGTACAGATAGATAGAATGGGAGGGAGAGAGAGGAAGGGAGAGAGAGAGAGAAACATCGACGTGAAAGGGACACACCGAGTGGCTGGCTCCCACATGACCCCAACCAGGGCCGGGGACAAACTGCAACCGAGGTACATGCCCTTAGCGGGAACCGAACCCGGGTCTCTCCGGACCGCAGGCCGACGCTCTAACTGCTGAGCCAAACTGGCCAGGGCTAAAAAAATATTTTTTCTTTATTGATTTTAGAGAGAGGAAGGGAGAGGGAGCGAGAGAGAGAAACACTGATGAGCGAGAACACTGATTGGCCGCCTCCTGCATGCCTCCTCCTGGGGATCAGGCCCACAACCTGGGCATGTGCCCTGACTCGGAATCGAACCGGTGACCTCGTGGTGCATGGGTCGACGCTCAACCACTGAGCCGCACCGGCCGGGCAGTTGCACCCCTTCTTAATGCAGGGGTGGGAACAGATGGCGTGGGAAAGAGAAGGGACCTTGGGAGACCTCTAGGCTGCCGCCCTTGGCATGCTTTCCTGGGGAACTGCTCGGGCAGTGGGGGGAGGCAGTGCAGCCAGGATCTGAACCCCCTCCCACCCAGCTTGGGACCTTTGACCTCGCCTCACGCAATGTCCCACCCCCAGCACCCTGACATCCCGCTGTCTGCCTCTGGCCCCTGTTTTCTCTCAGGCTCCTCAGATATACACTCCATGGCTCCGCTCATCCGCTCCATCCTCCTGGTGGGCCCCGCTGGCACGGGGAAGAAGATGCTGGTCAATGCTGTGTGCACAGAAACGGGTGCCAACCTGTTCGACCTGTCCCTTGCCAACCTGCAGGGCAAATACTCTGGCAAGGCTGGGGTGTCCATGATAGTGCATATCGTCTTTAAGGTTTGGCATCTCTAGTTCTCTGGCTGGGACAACGAGCAGGGTGGGCTTTATGCTCAGATCACCCATCTGCTAGTCGGTGCAGCTTCAGGGGCTGGTGAGGTCCTTCCCAAGCCCTGCTGGGAGCTTGTAGGCACCTAAAGCCCCCATAATGGGGGGTGGGGGGGAAGTGGAGAGGAGAGACGAGGCCTAAGACGAAGCTTCCTCCACTCCCCAGGGAGGGCAGGGACTCTGCTCACGCCGAGGTGTGCTGGGTGTGCAAAGGGCTGGCAGGTGGGGCCGGCAGGACGTGGGAAGTGGAGGCTGGGGCTCCGAGGCCACCACTGCCCGAGGCCGGCCCTGACTCTGGGTTGGACCAGATGGGGAAGTGAGCCTTGCTCAGGGGTGTCTGACGTCAGGTTTCTATCCTCTGGCCTGGCCAGGTGGCTCGACTCCTACAGCCCTCGGTGATCTGGATTGGAAACGCCGAGAAGAATTTCTATAAGAAGGTCCCAAAGGAAGAGAAGGAGGTGAGGGGGGTGAGCAGGCAGCCTGAGCTCCTGGCAAACCACTGCAGCGACACCATTGTGTGGCCTTGGACAAGTCCCCTGTCCTCCTGCCTTATTTCCTTCTTCTTCTTCTTTTTTTTAATCCTCACCCAAGGATATTTTTCTATTTATCTTTAGACAGATTAGGAGGGAGGGAGAGAGACAGAGAGAGAGAGAGAAACATTGATGCAAGAGAGACACACCGACTGGTTGCCTCCCTCACGACCCCGACCAGGGCTGGGGACGAAGTGCAACCGAGGTACGTGCCCTTGGCCGGAATCAAACCCGGGTCTCATTGGTCCGCGGGCCGATGCTCTAACCTCTGAGCCAAACTGGCCAGAGCTATTTCCTTATTCTTTTTATTTCCTTATTCTTTTTATTATTTTTTATCCTCACCCGAGGACATTTTTTCTTTTTGTTCAGGTAGAGTGGGAGGGAGAGACAGGAACAGAGAGAGAGAAACACCGATGTGAAAGGGACACATCGAGTGGCTGCCACCCGCACGACCAACCAGGGCCGGGGACAAACTGCAACCGAAGTACGCACCCCTATCGGGAACCGAACCCAGGCCTCTCGGGACCGCTCTAACCGCTGAGCCAAACCGGCCAGGACTATTTCCTTATTCTTTAAGCAGGACTGTCAGCCCCTCTCGTCTGAGTGTGGACAGGTGCCCCGAGAACTTAGAAGCCCATATGATAGGCCACTGTGTCCCCAACCCCTGCCCCCATCTCCCCGGAGCAGATGGAACCAAAGCGAATAAGGAGGGACCTCACCAAGGCCCTGAGACTGCTGAATCCCGGGGACCGTGTCATGCTGATAGGGACCACTGAGCGGCCGCATCTCGCTGAGATGAGGGGGCTGTGCCGGACCTACGAGCGGATTCTCTTCATGCCACGGCCTGATTACGCTTCGCGCTATGGTGAGGCCTGGGGACGTGGGGACAGGCCAGAGAAGGGGTGCCGACTATCCCTGCCATAGCCTCCCCACCCCTCTTCCCATCCCCCTGGCCCCCCATTGCTCGGAGCAGCGCCTCTGCAGCCAGGCGCTCTGGAAGGGCCGCTGCTACACCAGCAACCCAGCGGGCCTGGGTCCCGGCCTGGTTCCGTGGACTTGGGCAGGCCACTTAAGTCCTTGCGTCTCACTTTTGTGTTGCGTGGGGAGGATGATCCCTGCCTTCCTGGGAGGAGAGGCGCGCTCTCGAGAAGCACACAGCTCACTACAGACACAGCGGAAGTGCCCACTGCCTCTCCCTGCCCCATGTCCCCCCACGTCTGCAGTGCTCTGGAAACACATGCTGGACGCCCAGAATGTCCAGGTGACCCAGAGCCTGGACATCAGCTCCCTGGCCAAAGTGTCCGATGGCTACACACCGGGTCACATTCTCCAAGCCATCCGATTGGTGCTCACCGAGCGGCGGATCCTGCAGTTGTCCAAGCGGCCCCTGGTGGCCTCGGAGTTCCTGGGTCATCTGGCGAAGCTGGAGCCAGTGTACAGGGAGGAGGAGGAGTCCCTCAAGGTGAGGCTCGGAGGGTAGGTGTGGAAGCCAGCGAGGAGGGTGTGGGTCAGCACCAGAGGAAGCCAGCCCTCTGAGGCCCCAGGCAGTAACGCAGGCCTGCGCCCTCTCTCTGCTCCCCCGTGGAGCTCCACCTGGGAAGGAACAAGAAGCCATGAGGAAGGACTTGTGGGCAGGACCGGCTCAGGCTCACCGGGTTTCAAGAGCAGGAGCCTGGAAGCGCCCCCGCTGTGCTAGGAGCCCTCAGCTGCCACTCACTCCCCCACCCCTGAGTCCGTGGCCACCCCCAGGGTGGCGGGATGGCCATGGGGGCCCAGGGGAGAGGGCCGAAGGGCAGGGGGAGAGGGCTTTCCCCCCCGCGGCGGCTGACATGAGGCCTGGAGCATTTGCTGGGAGCAGTAGGAACCGGGGCTCTCGCAGGTGCAGGACCCAGGAGGGGAGGAGGAGCCGCTGGGGACACAGATCTGTAAAAATGGAAGCGGTGAGGTCAGGAGGCAGAACCAAGGGCCAGACCCAATGCACTTACTCCCTCCTCTGACCCAGGACTGGTACTTCAAGACCCCGCTGGGCAAGAAGAGGATGCAATTTCTCAAGGACCAGGAGGCCGAGGAGGCCAGGTTGGCAAATGAGAAGAAGAAGAAGCGGAAGTGACTGCTGGAGGCCGGGTGCCCCGGAGGAGCGGTGGGACTGGGAGCAAAGGGACCGGGGAGACAGAGACATAAACGCCCGGATGGCTTGGGGACCAGCTCTCTGTCCACCTCTGTGCTTTCCGCCCCTTGTTCTGTGCCACCTGCCGCCACCTCACACCGCACGCCGTCGAGGTTCTCCGATCCTGGGTCCCTGTCCTGGGACCCCACCCTGTCGTTTTCCTGTCCTGGTTCCCCATTCCCTTTCTGCCTCAAGGTATGGAGGGGAGGGAAATGGGAGGAGGAGGAGAGACGGAAAAGGAACCTCTCGGTAGGTAGAGAAAAAGGGAAGAACAGGAGTCTGGAGGTCAGCAGACCCTGGTCTAGCCCCTCTTGGCACTGTCTCTGGGCCTCAGTGCCCTCACCCGTAAGGAGAGCAGAGACTGGACCAGCCCATCTCCAAGGTCCCTTCTACTCTAGGGCTAGATTCTTCCTACGAGGGGGTCTGGAAAGTCAGGGAGACGGCGGAGTAGAGAGGATGGAGGTATTGTGGCTGCTGGTAGACCCGGTGCCTTTTTTGAGTGGTCTTCACCTCTTTCCTCTGGACACCCCCTCCCACCTGCCTTTGTCTTTGAGCCAGAGCCTGGCCCCAGGAGACTGAGTGGGTCACAGCTCTTGTCTGTGGGCAGAAGTCCATTTGTGGGTCCCCGTTGTGGGGGGAGACTGGAATCAGGAAACTCCAGGAGCCCTGAGGTTCTCCCCGAAGAAGCAATGTAAAGAGTGTATGATAAGGTCAAGGTGCATTCCACAGGTCATAGGGCAGAGAGCGCAGGCGAGGCGAGACCACGGGCCGGAGCTAGCTCCTGTGGCAGCGGTGGCTCAGCTGAGCCCAGGGGCTGGTTTGAGTTTTCTTGCTCATTTTTTTCATTTTCTCCCCAGATGAAAGCAGAGACACTCCCTCTTTCTCACTTCCCAACTGAGACCCCCTAACCACGGCAGATAGAGGCCACGGGGGTCCAGCAGTCATCTGGGGAGACAGGGGCAGCACTAGGATGGGGTTGGGGGGATCAGCACTAGGATGGGTGTGGGGGGGTCAGCATTAGGATGGGCGTAGGGGTCAGCATTTGAATGAGGTGGGGGTCAGCATTAGGATGGGGGCAGGGGGCAGCACTTGGATGGGTGTGGGGGGGTCAGCACTTGGATGAGGTGGGGGTCAGCATTAGGATGGGTGCAGGGGTCAGCACTTGGATGGGTGTGGGGGGGTCAGCACTTGGATGAGGTGGGGGTCAGCATTAGGATGGGGGCAGGGTCAGTACTAGGATGGGGGCAGGGTCAGCACTAGGATGGGGAGTGTTCTGTTGCTGCCTGTGGGATCCCTGTCCCCCTGGGTAGAGTCTGTCTGCCTAAGTACACCTGGAGGAGGTAACTCATAGGGTCCTTCTCTGCATTTGTCACTACTGTGAACTCCTCCCCTAGCTTTGGGAGGGTGAAGGTATGGGGCTAATTGGTAACATTTGGGAAGACAGGAAAAATTATGTGCACCCCACTGCTCTGCCTCTGGTTCCAGAGCCCCAGCAGCTGGAGGCCTCTTGGTGGAGCACATGATCGATGAGAGAGTGAGAAATGGCTCTGGAGAGGCACCCCACCCCCTTCCAGTCCCTGCTCTGCAACAAGTTGACACGCCAGGGGCCAATCACTTCCCACCCCTGGGCTCTGGTTCCCTTTACCTGTGAGATTGCAGTTGATGCCACCTTCTGGGTAGTCCCTTCAATCCTGCGGTGAATAACTCAGGGTGAGGCTCAGGGTGGAGGGTTCTAGCCTCACCCCATTTCCAGGCTCCTCCCTAATTCCGGCTGCCAGCCTAAGCCTCATTCCCCAGGACTGAGTTCCGACAGCCAGCGCTATTTATGGCTCGGTCCCCCTCCCCCTCCCACAATGGGCCTCATCTGGCTCGGGCCCAGTGCCCGCCCGCCCAGTCACTCTGAGTCCTGCTTCTTTGGCTCTCTCTAAACTAGTCATGACTGGGAGAAGAGGCTCTTGTCCCCACTGGGGACACCATCTGGGGTGCTTCCCCTCGGCCCCTGCCTGCCGAGTCTGGGGTCCCCAGTCCTGCCCAGCCTGGGAGCCCCCACGGCCATCCCCACTGCTGTGCCGGGACATGGCCCTGCAGAATGCCCTGTACACCGGAGACCTGGCGAGATTGCTGGAGCTGTTCCCCCCGTGCAGCACAGCGGACCTGCTGCTGGAGAGCCGGGCCGCTGAGCCTCGATGGACCAGCCACCAGAGGGGTGAGGGGCAGCAGGGGACGGACGGACCGACAGGGCTGAGGACCAGGGGCTGGGCTGACTGCATCGGGCACAGAGGTGCCAAGTGCTTGAGGAAAAGAAGCTGCCTCTGGCAGTTTCTCCCTCACCCCAGAGCTTGCCTAAACCTTGGCCCAGGAGTGAAGTCATGTGGAGCCCAGAATAGCTCCTGCCAAACTGCGTGGCTGGGTCAGGCTCAGCTCAGGCTCCGCGGAGGGACACAGAGACCCTCTCCTTCCATCTGTCTGTGTTTCTCTTCTTTTTCCCTCTACCTTTGGCCCTCCCCTCTCCTTCTCCCTCCCCTCTTCCCCTATGCTCACGCTCTGCCCTAATGAGCTGGTCCCCAGAAGAGTGCAGGGAGCAGGAAGAACCCCGGGGTGACAGACATGCCCTCTGTGCCAGGCTGGTGGAGGAGCCCAACAGGGGGTCTGCAGAGCACCTGAAGTCTGGCCCGGGACCCATCGTCACCCGCACGGCCTCAGGACCTGCCCTGGCCTTCTGGCAGGCATTGCTGGCCGGGGATGTGGGCTCTGTCTCCCTCATCCTCGCTGACTCCAGCGCTGGCCTGGCACCAGATTCCATCTTTGACACCAGCGACCCAGAGCGATGGAGGGATTTCCGCTTCAACATCCGCGCTCTGAGTACGGGCCAGGGGGGCTGGGGGGCCTGAGCGGGAGAGGGGAGGCTGGGAATGGAGCTCCGGGCTCCCTCTTCCTGGTCTCTGCCCAACTCCCCCATTGCCTGACAGCTCTTTGCTTTCCTCTTGAGCCTGAGGCCCATGTCTCCTCTCTCCCTAGGACTCTGGTCTCTGACATACGAAGAGGAACTGACCACCCCACTGCACGTGGCAGCCAGCCGGGGCCACACGGATGTTTTGCAGCTGCTGCTGAGGAGGCGGGCGAGGCCGGACAGTGCCCCTGGGGGCCGCACCGCCTTGCACGAGGCCTGTGCCGCAGGCCATGCTGCCTGTGTCCATGTGCTGCTGGTGTCAGGAGCCGACCCCAACATCCCTGACCAGGATGGGAAACGCCCCTTGCACCTCTGCCGGGGGGCTGGCACCCTTGAGTGAGTGATTCCTCACCCCAACCCCCATTCCACTCCTAGAGGAGACAAAGCAATGACCTCAGGGAGGATGGGGGAGCATGTCAGGGGCTGGCAGGCTGGGTGGGCAGGATGGAGGAGTCGGGACTTAGGTGGGGAGTCAGGATGCAATTGCTCCCCAAACTATCCAACCGTTGGCCCCAGGAAGTTTGGAGTGGCCTGAATCTGAGACAGTTTCTGCTTCCCCAGAGGTGCAGGAGGACTGGGGCAAGGGCCAGTTGCATGGCCTGCCTTGGAGAACTTGTCTGGATTCATTCTGGGGATTCATACTGTACTACAAAGTTTTCACATGGTCTAAATCTATTCCATGTTCCAGGACTGTGGTAAGTACAGCAACTGAGGCACGGTCTTGTCCTCAGGAACTGACTGTCCAGTGATCCAGATAGGCTGCAAGGATAGCAACTTCCAGTTAGAGCCTGCATTGGTCTATGTGGACAGAGTCTGGGTCTCAACTTGGCAGGTTTGGCATGTCCAGATTGGCAGGCACCCTCATTGATGGGCTCAGGGACTGAGTCCAACTAACCAAACTCACAAGAAACTAATGGATATACCCAGTTGTGACAATGTATTATTTACTGTAGGGCATATTCCAAATAATTATGCCCTATGTGTAGGGAACTTTAGAGGATGAGTCCCCACAATTTTTTGGTGGAACTCCACAAAGGAAGCATTTGCAAGTTACACACACAGTGGAGGCCCTCTCTCTATTGACTTCACACCTGCCAAAGTTCACATCCTGCCCCCGAGTGGTGTCAGATTTTTTTTTTTTTTTTTATCCTCACCCGAGGGCATTTTTCGATATTTTGTTCAGATAGAGTGAGAGGGGGAGAGAGAGAGAGAGAGAGAGAGAGAAAGAGAGAAACATCGACGTGAAAGCGACACATCGAGTGGTTGCCACCCGCACGACCCAACCAGGGCTGGGGACAAACTGCAACCAAGGTACGTGCCCTTAGCGGGAACCGAACCTGGGTCTCTCTGGACTGCAGGCCGACGCTCTAACCGCTGAGCCAAACCAGCCAGGGCAAATTCTTAGTTTTTTTGTTTTTTTGTTTTATCCTCACCTGAGGACATTTTTCTATTTTTTTTTTTTTGTTCAGGTAGAGTGGGAGGGGGAGAGAGGAAGAGAGAGAGAAACATCAATGTGAAAGGGACACATTGAGTGGCTGCCACCCGCACGACCAACCAGGGCCGGGGACAAACTGCAACTGAGGTACATGCCCTTAGCTGGAACCGAACCTGGGTCTCTCCGGACCGCAGGCCGACGCTCTAACCGCTGAGCCAAACCGGCCAGGGCAGATTTTTTTATCCTGTGTCCTTTCACAGACCTTCTTCCACCTGTTAACCTCATCAGCCTTCAGGAGTCTCCATTAACTTATCATATTGAAGACATAGCCTATACCAGCATGGTCCAGGAGAAATATAATGTGAGCTACGCAGGTCATTTAAAATTTTTCAGTGGCCTTATCACAAAATGAAAAAAACAAACAAACAGGTGGAATCAATCTTTTAAATAGTGATAAAATACCCACAGCATAAAATTTACCATCTTAACCACTTCTAAGTATACAAGTACATATTGTTGTGTAACCCTCACCACCATCCATCCAACTCCTGAACTTTT